CATCACCATAGTCCAGTGCATTTCCTCCCTCCCCCCCCTCCCACTGTTTTTGATCCCATTCCCCACTCCACTCCCATAAAATGTCTCTGGTATATAGCTATTCATTATTACTATTATTATTTTCTCACCTGGTCCATTATACTCCTGCTATGAGTGAAAGCATCCAATATTTTTCCTTTTCTTTCTGGCTTATTTCACTAAGCACAATCTTTTCCAGCTCCATCCATGTTGTTGCAAAAGGCATGTGTTTATTTATTTTTCCTGGCTGCTGAGTAATCCACTGTGTATGTGTATCACATCTTTTTAATCCAGTCATCCACTTTTGGGCATTTGGGCTTTTTCCATGTCTTTCCAATTGTAAATAAGGCAGCAATAAACATGGGGTGCAGGTGTCTTTTTGAATCAGTGTTTTTGTGTCTTTTGGGTAGACCTAGGAGTGGGATTGCTGGGTCATATGGAAACAGTTTGAGGAACCTCCAAACAGCTTTCCATAGTGGTTGTACCAGTTTGCATTCCTACCAGCAGTGCAGGAGAGTTCCTTTTTCTCCACAACCTTGCAACATTTGCTTCTAGGTATTTTATGGTTTCCATTCTTATGTCTAGGTCTTTAATCCACTTCGAGTTGATTTTTGTGTATGGTGGATCACACAGTTTTTAACTTCTGTTCAGTCTCACATGCTTGTCTCCTTTTCCATTTGTTAAAAAACAAAAGCAATCTTGGATATCTAGTCAACAATGATTCATGAAACTAGCAGCATCTTAACTAATATATAGAAAGGTACACTAGAGAATTTTTACAAATTGGGGGGGTCTCCGTAGTCCGAAGGAGGGTAGATCAGGTTATTAACAAGATAAAAGATTATTTCAGGCCAAGCCACCCTTTCTCACACATCTCTGAATCTTCAAAGACAATATTCAAGTTTCTTAAATCTGTCAAAAAGAGTTTAACCTCTGGACTATCGTGAACAAGGATTTCACCAATAATTAATGTTAATTTGATCATCCAAACTTCTGGGAATCATGTCATATAACAGACTATGTCCACTTGGCTGTAACAATTTGGCTCCAGATGGCCTGATTTGATCCTTAAGGTCCAAGAGGAGAGCTCAGATTTGGGAGTGGGATGGAGGCTTTTTGGAGGAAAACAAAAAATCTACATAAAGAATGAACAACATTGAGGAAAATTACCAGATTATACCTTTGAGTCACTGAGACCACTTATAAGTAGATTTACTATTTGCATATTGTAAGGATGATTTTAGAATCATCCAGCTTCCTTTGAGAGGGATGTGAAGTAAAAGGAGAAAAAATGAAAATGTAATTATTATAATGCTACATCTCCATCTGTGTCTGTGTAAATTAATGGTAGTGACAAATCCTAAGATTCCAGTTTTAAGATTCCAGCTTCTGTGACTAGCATCTATGAGGAGGACATATTCTTACAACTTTATACATATTCTTACAACTTTATGATCCATTTTCTTGGTGGGTGTCTGGACTGAATAAAAGGCACAGGACAAGTATTTATTTCTGTGACAAGGAATGACCTCTTTTTTTAAGTTTTATTTATTTATGCATACAAGAATTGGGGTACGGTGCAGAGGTGTGGGCTGTGAGAGGATTCACCAGAGACAGAGTGGGGAGCAGCACAGGCAGATCTACTGAAATACACTGCTGAGAGGAGCAGTGGAGAGAGACAGGAGAGGTCTGCTGCACCATGTGGGTCACCTGCCTGGCCAGGGATCAAACTTGTGCTGCAGTGGCTGCAGACAGTTTGATAGTGCTGCAACTTTAACCCATTGTGCTACCAAGGAAGGCCCAGGACTGGTCTCTTAAAAAGGAACAGTGAAGTGAAGTGATGTGGTATTGTTCAATGTGGGAGAGGGTCTTCAGAAACATCTATTTCCATAGGTGCTGGTCTTCATTGACTGCAACAAGTCTCATCAGGGTACCTTATATCTTTAGCTGGGGGAGTGGGGGGTCTGAGGAAAAACACACCTTTGGAGAAACATTAAAGTCTCTCATAGACATGGCTCTTATCTCATTAAGTTTTATTTATAGGCCAGAAGCTTGTGTACCAAGTGACATAACTGGGTCAACAGATAAAATTCCATAACTTGTATACTTCCTATGGTCATATTCTGAAGCTAAGAAAAATACACGCTTAGTTGATAAACTACCTCTAGGGAATGAACCAAAATGGAAATTTCACTTCTTTGTTATGTTAGTCACATTAAAGTTTGTATTTTTTGATACTTATTTACTTATCACAATCCGTTAAAGCATTAACAGATTTTAAGACTATATTACGCACAAGGCATATAACATTCCCAATACAGTGATGTGACCATCATAGTAAAAAAACTCATTTACTTTTCTTGTCATTGACACATAAGGCGGTTATCAAATCCATACTTTAAAACTGGAGCGATTAGGCCCTCCCTGGTGGCGCAGCGGGTTAAAGCACAGCACTGGAAAGCTTAAGCCACTTCCACATGAGTTCGATTCTAGCCTGCCCCAGAGGAGATCCACATGGCGAGGCAGACCTCTCCTGGCC